CAATTTCAAAGTTGTAAGAAAACTCAATTTCATAATCATTATCATTGTTAGATACAAATTCTTGATCATTCTAGAAAATGAAGTAAAACCAGTAAGGAGATAGAAAAAGAAAAGAAACGGTACCTTTGACTTTAAGCTTTAAAGGTGAAGAAAGCTCTTAGGGAGTTTCTTTTTTCTTCTTTTCCTCCTCTTCCTGTGAAATGAATAATAGAGTTTTTAAAACCAACAATTTATAGACAATGGTAGAAGTGGGTGCCATGTCCTTTTCCACTGTATAATATACAACTAATACAATTGCATGGAAATAAACGATTATTTGCATGTCTGTCTAAATATTTACACTACTAAAGAGGTAATCAAGAAATGCAAAAATTATATGTTGTGCTATATGTAACTTTTCCAGTGTCACATTTTTTTAGCTGCTTCACGATAAAGTTTATTAAAATAACATTCACATCTCATTTAATTTTAAAATATACTCGAGGTTTATTAAAATGACACTGACATTATTCTTTAATATTTAGTGACACTTAAAAGATGTAATTATATATGACATTCATGTATGGTTAAGGAAGATTAATGCATATTATAAAAGATGTTCTTAGATGCAAGGTGTGTGTCATAACTAATGGTTTTATATCGTCCTCGCAAGAGTTTGCTCCATTATTCAATAGTTTTTCATTGAGAGTTGATATTTCAATATATTTTTATATATATTACACGAGTTTATATAATCACAAAATTCACAATAATGCGGAGAAAAATAAATCTCCTATTTGAATCTTGACTTGTATACAACCTTGATGTCGAACTCACTGCAAACCTTTACTCGATTCTCACTTATTGAATCTTTCAGCTTCACGTTCTGGTCTTCACTACGCCACGTAAGCTCTAGCAGTCACTTGGGTTGGGCCTGACCATCCAACCCAACTCAAATGACTGTTGGCCCTGCGCTGCGCTGGGGTCTCTCTATAAATACCCTCTTTCACAAGAGGGTCAGGTATTCAATTCTCAACCACTTTCTGTATTTGCTATCACTTTGTCCAATCTCTCACTTTGGCATCAGAGTGTCTTGCAGGTACACCCCTATCTCCTTCTCAACGCCAGTGAACAGGCAGCAGTCCAACAGAGTGTGGCCAGACAGTGATCTCCTTCTGATCAGGTCAGATCAGTAACATTCCTTCCATTTGATTGTAATTGCTTCGACTATTTAATGATACCACTGCGAAACTTTTACATTTCACAACCATATTCATTTGATCCTTTTTAGTGTTTCTCTTTTTCAGCCTATGAAAGTTATTGTTTTGTCCTTTCCATATGAGTAGTTTGAATCACAAGTTAGAACATTTGAATTTTGATATTTTGGTGTTTTATTTGAATCATTCAATATATTTGATTCTGATCAATCATCTATTGGAAATTGGAAAACAATTTTGGATCAAATGATTTAAGTCAAAGATTGAACATGATTCGAATCATAACATGATTTGATTCGAATCAAGTACAAAAAAGATTCAAATCGTTAGCCTCAAAAAGTGCCTCCTTTTGAAACTGTCTAGATTAATTCGAATAAAAATCATTCTTGATTCAAATCAAACCTTCAAAAATACAAATTTCCATCAATTATTTAAATGATTATTTCTTTTGGTGAAAGTAGCAAGTGTGGGAAACCTATGGAGATCCATGGTGACAAAAATTGTGATTTTTGTCTTATATTCTTAGTGTGTTCATCTTTTCACCATTCTTCTATTTTCTTCTCAAAACGCCAACTTTTTGAGATTGATCCCATGTGAATTCTTTACCCTTTTTGTTGCATCCTTTTTTTTGTGAAATTTGGTTGTTGTTCTTATGTGAATTTGAGAATGATTTGATCAAGCTCCTGATAATCATCAAGAACCAAGACCCACTCATATAAAAATTTGTTTAAACTTTGTGTGTGTTCTTCATTAATCAAAACTGAATTACTTGACTAATCTCTTGTAATGTCAGTTGTTGTTGATATTTTCTGACACAGTTCACCAGTTTTATCCTTAATTTATTTTTGGACCCTCCTCTAAGGATTGAGTGTAAGGGAGACTATTAGTACATTAGGGTATCTAATGTTTTTGTGTGTAGCTACTTCTCTCGTAACAGGTGCAAATAACGTTTCTTGAGTGCAATTTGGTACTGAGGGGTTATCTAGCAAGATGAGAGTTTCCATTATACTTCAAGGAAGACTTTGGTTGAATCAAGTATCAACGGTCCGTAAGACGGAGTTGAAAGTTGTCCTTCTTTTGTGGCGTTGGAGAAAGATTGCTTGCAGAAAAATTTAGGAGTTGTCTAATATACACTTAGTTAATGGCAATCGCTTGGGAAAGAAATCAGTGGGATAAGGGGGATCGCCATACATGAATACTTAGAGCAGGTTATTATGGATAACTTGTTTATTGGATCAAGATCTTGAGAGATTTTGTATTGTGTTAACATTTTAGTGTCTGTATCATCAGGGAATTATTGTGTGATAGTTCTTTACAATCAAAACACTGTAATCATTTTATCATTATAGTGGAAGACCGTGATTATATTCCGATGACATCATCCATTGAAGAGTGCATGTAGGCAAAGTGAGTCGAAGCACTATAATCTCTATGTATCCTCTCCTTTTCCTCTCCTTTTAATTTACAAGCATTCATTCATATTTGCAAGATTGCATTGATTATATTCCATATAGGTTATACCTTACTTATAGTGATTTAATGTATAAGCTTAAGTCAATGATGTATAAATCATAGGGAATCATCATGAAGTTAATTATGCATTGTTAAGAATATCTAAGTAATTTTTTTTAAAATCTCTTCGTTTTAAAGCGACTTTGGTTGTCATGTAAGTGATTTGCATTAGAAGCAATCAATCTCATGGTAACCTCATGTATCATTTTATAAGATATTAATTCATTGAGATGCTTTCAAGCTCTCGTTTTTTTATTTGCTTCCGCGCTTTTTAAAATCTCTGATTTCGCTATGTATGACCTAAATTTTTTTCAAATTGTCTAAAATGATTTTGGTCTATTCAACCCCCTTTTAGAAATTGTTGTTTCCATATTCTCACCCAATAATTGGTATCAGAGCTTGAATTTTGATCTAAGTCTAACGACTTCAAAAGTTGAGGATATGGTTCCTCTAGACAAGTTTTCTTAAATGTTTTGGAAGCTTATGCAAATCAATGAATCCCAATGAAACTGCATTGAATTACTTGTGTTTGATTATTCATTGCAATGCATTATATAGATTAATTTAAAATAAAACCTTACTAGAATTTTCCTTAAGGCATTAATTATACTTAAGATGTTCTTTAAGTGTTGATTCATCCAGGATTGAACTAACAATCTTTTGAGATATGTACAATATTTTTGTGACTTTATTTTTTAAAGGTTATTTTCGGATTGATCCTAACTTGAAGATTATGCATTCACACAACAACATGCTGGCAATGATTCTCCGAAATTTCAACCAACTACAAAAGATTCAAGGAATACACTTGAAGTGCTTATAGATCGTCTAAGAGTTGAATCAGTGATTCGAGATTGACAAGTTGTGTCAATAAACAATGATTATAGTATTGTTGTTTCAAAGCTGAAACAAACGATTTCCAAGTCTTGTTTGTTCAAAAAATATGCATAAGTCCGCTTTGTAGTTTATCATAAGTTTATTTTTAGATTTGAATTTGACATTTTCTTAAAAACTTCTTAAACTAATTAATCTACTAAATAGTATATTTCATTTGAACATTTATATGAATAAAAAATTCAACATATTTAAATATACTAACAAATTAAAAAATCAACGAAAATTTTTATTTATTTTTATTTATTTTTTAAGAGAAGCGTTTTAATTTGTCTTTTTTTTTACAAATGAATCATATAAACTACTCTTAGAAATATGTTTGAATTGATTTATTTAACTTTAACATAAGTTTTATGATATTTTTCATTAATTTTTTAAATATTTTTTAATGTATTTTTAAATAACTTATAAATATAAGTTATATTATATATAAAAATAATTTAAATTTATGTCATATTTTGTTATAAAAATAGTTTAGAAAAAATTATCCATACAAATTTATATATCAACCGCAAATAAATTGTTTATCCAACTAGATTATATGACCATATTTTTGGACGGTAGTTACTATCTCTACACATAAGAAAATAGAACAACTGTGAACATTCGACATCCATATCTCTCATACTCTAACAAACAGCAAACCAATGTGAAGGATTGTCTCCTGTATTTTCGACCCTCTTAACGATGCATCAGTCAAAGTCTTGTAGCTCAAATTACAGTTAGAACTATGAAGATCTTGTTATCCTCTCTTTCTTAGTAGTAGAATAGAGAGTATACAAATTGGAGGATCATAGTGGCAAGAAGATCCTAAGAGACATCATTCTTAGTTATGCTTAGAATTTCTTAAAAGCTTTCATCAAGTTATATGCTCAGTATTATGGTTAAACAACTTAACTTGGTCAAGAGTTCAGTCGAAACCCCGATCAAATTGCTTCCGTTTTTATTTTACTTAACCTGCCAAAAGATTTTCCAAGATCAGAATTTTTCTTCCAAACCTCCTGTAGTGATGTATTGGCATCTTTCAGCAAAGTCTTAGTATTTTCACAAGCCTTTTTTGAAGATTCTAGTTGGGATGAGAGCTCAGATTTTTCCTTCTCCGACTTCGTTGCCAAGTTGATGTTCTCTTCCTTTAGTTGAGCAATTAATTCATCCTTTTTCCGCAATTCCTCGGTCAGCCGTTGGAGGCTTTGTTCATATTTCATCTTCTCATGAGGCCAAGTCTTGAAGACACCTTTAGCTTCGTTAGCAACAGAGTTGAGCCACATTGCATTAGTGGCCACGGCATCAAAGATGTTCTCCAAACCAAGTGAAACAACTTTCGAAGGCTCCATCTGTCCTGCGAAATTAAAATCCGTTGTAGTAGAAGGACCTTTGGGGATTCCAGACTCTGTCCTTTCAGAAGAATATGAAGAATTCCCCAAAGACCCTCTTCCGCTTAGAATATGAAGAATTCCCCAAAGAAACCCTCTTCTGCTTAAAATGGTCACGCTGTGTCAACGGATATTCTTTCTCAGCGGGAATATTGGTCATGTAAGTGGAGTTGAGCCCAATGTTGTTTTGATTGCTAAGGGCTTTAGGCACAGCAACTGAGATAGGAACTACTCCAAAATTTCCTAAAAAAAGACCATGAATAAATTAGTATACAAAAAGTTCATTTTAAAAAATTACTTAAAAAGTGGAAAAAGTTCATCACTCTTTTTTCAAAATAAATGAGCTTGACAGCTTTAAGAGGCGGATGTAACATCCTATTTTTCATACTTTGATAGATCACAGGTTGCTTTAGATTTATTATGTTGCTATATTTGTTATTAGGATTATGGAAGAGCTTAGAAAAATAGGTGACTTGCAAGTGAAGAAAGTATTTTTGTGTGTAAATATGAATTTAGCTTAGCAAATTTGAAATGGCGTAAGAGAATTTGAGGTGGCATAATCTAAATCAAATTCTTCTAGCTCCTCTTCTGCAAAAACATGGCTTACAATATTCTATCAGTACTTTGATCAATTTCAAGCTCCCATAACATCAACTCATCTATCTAGCTTCAGATATAACCTAACTGTTGTGCCGCCAATGTTTCTGTACATAGTACGGTTTTGGCCCTATAGCTTGAATCATCTGGTCGTGCTACCAGAAGTAAGAAATCAGACCTAATTACTCGTTTGAGGTTGACGGACCAGAAATGCCAATAAATGCTAACCTTGACTAGGAAGTATACTGTTGGTAATGGTAATCTGAGATTTAGTCTCTACTGTAAGCATCTTTAAAGATATTTTCCGTAAATAATCAGACTGAAAAAAAAATAACACCGATATTGAGTTGAAAAAAATACATAAATGAAAATGGAGAGGTTTACAATATTCATAATTAGTGTACCTGACTTGTTGCAGATACAAATATTTTCTCTTCAAACTTTTGAGCAATTTTCTGAAGTTCAAGTAAACCCTCAGAACCAGAATAACGAAGATGTCTTTGTAATGTGTCCAATCTACATATAAAAAGAAATTGTTTCACATTTAGATCATGCAAGTCACAGAGATGTTCAAACAATGCCTCGAACATACCAATATTAATTTTAAAAAACCAATAAGTTCATTAGAAATTATAATGGTTCGGTTTTATAAGACCAACTCCATTGTAGAAAGTGCGAAACAAAAAATTTCAATTTAATTCTTAAGTTTTGGCACCGGAACTTACATTTTACTGACAATTCTTGGGCGCGTAACAGGTAGCAGTCGAGCTCTCCAGTCAGATGTATCCATAGTGGGCTCAGGGTCCTAAAATTTGAATTAACATGAAGTTCAACATTCCAATCAAATGAAACTTTAACCGGAAACAAAGGCCCTGTTTGCTTATTAGTTGTTACACATGTAACCAACAGTGGTTAATAGAGATAGAATATTTGTAATCTCTTTTAGTTAATCAATATTGTTTACTCTCCTAATTGTTTTTCATAGAGTATTTTCCTTGGAAAATGTTTTTTCTGGAATGCTTTTACAATTTGGTACTTTATCCTTTTACTACAATTATTTTTCACTCAAAATTTGACATAAGATGATCATTTCCATGTATTGTCACAAATTAATTTTCATCATAAATATAGGCTTGATTTAAGAATATTTAATCCTGTTACTTGCGGTCAACACTTGCCTATTTATTTAATCCTGTTCCTCAATCTTAATTTTTTTTATATGGAACTTGCAGCTTTTAAGAGAGTTTCGCGACTCGAAGGCATCATTCCAGAGCTCGCTCTGGAGACATCACATGCCATGGCTTATTCTGGAGACATCACATGCCATGGCTTATACTTATCCAATTGTAACATTTTTTTTCTGAGAACGAACTTTAATTAAGTATTTCAATTTATTTTTTTACCATCTGATTATTTGATTGTAATTTAGGTTTTTATTTATTTCTTGCGAGATTTTTATATGTGAAATTGATGTCATCTTGAAGACTTCGATGAATGAAGAAGAGGTTTATTCTTCACTCTGTTTCTAACTTCTTTTTTTTGTGATTGAGGTTGTATACTTATGACGTGGTATTTGGTCGAATTCTAGTGTTGACAAATATAGTTTCATAGTTCGACAAGAATTGTGTATAATGTAGTCGAAGTTTGTTCAAGCATAATGTCGAAATGTATTAACTTATAATTTAAGTTAGTATGTCGAATTGAACATTGCTTCTAAGTCCAATTGTTAAGTTAACTTGTATCCTAAGTTGGTATTCACTTATAATCTTTAAACCCTTATTGAGAAAGTGAATAGTAAAACAATTTTAACCAATTCCTTATTCTTCTTCTTCCTTCTTATCTCCCTTTTGTAAAACCTAATAGGGTTTCTTGTGTTGGTTCAAGAAACTCAATATTTTTCTCATATTTTGGTTTTGTTCTTGACGACATCGTTGCACAACAAACTGATACGGTGAGCGCGGAGAAGAAGATGTTGTTAACAAAGTATGAGATTGAGAAATTCACCGGTGTGAATGATTTCGGTTTGTGGTGCTTGAAGATGCAAGTCCTTCTTTTTCAACAGGGTTTGTTAGAAGCGTTGAAAGGATCGAAGAAGATGGAAGTTGCACTATCGTAGAAGGAGAAGACAATGATGGTCGAAAAAACCTACAATGTCATTGTATTGAGTCTTGCTGATAAGGTTTTTCGACAAGTTTCAAAGGAGAGAACTGCAACAAGTGTGTGGACGAAACTTGAAGGTTTGTACATGACAAAATTGTTGGTTAATCGTATCTACCTGAAGCAAACTTTGTATTCATTCAAGATGAGTGAAGACAAAGTCCTGAGCAGTTGAATATGTTCAACAAGTTAATTCTTAATCTTAAAAAATATCGAGGTCAAGGTTGATGATTAAGATCAAGTGTTGTTGTTGTTGTGCTATTTACCTAAGTCTCATGCTCATTTCAAAGAAACTCTCTTGTATGGAAGAGAGTTTTGACCATTGAAGATGTTCAATTTGCCTTGTACTCTAAGGATTTGAACGAACGAAAGTAACACAAGCCATCTTGTATTGGTGAAGATTTATCCATTAAGAGGAAATTCTTGAAGAAAGATGGCATGTCTGAGAAGAAGAATGATAAAGTTCCACAAAATTCTTATGGTGGTAATGCAACCATTGTGCAAGATGGTTATGAATCATCTGATGTCCTGGTGGTTTCGAGCAGTGACTCTAGCAAGGAGTGGATTATAGATTCAGGGTGTACTTGACACATGACTCCAAACAAAGACTTATTTGAAGAATTGTATGATCAAGATGGTGGATCAGTGCTGCTGGGAAACAACAAAGCTTGCAAAATTGTAGGTATTGGATATGTGAGATTCAAGCTCCATGATGAGTCAATAAGACTATTGACTGGTGTTAGGTATGTACATGATCTTAAGAGAAATTTGATTTCTCTTGGTGAATTTGACAAGAAAGGATATATTTTCAAAGGAGAGCAAAACATCCTAAGGGTAATGAAGGGGTCGAAGTAAGTCTTGAGAGGCGTGAGGAAATAAGGCTTGTATACCCTCGAGACTGAGGTTGTAGGTGGTTTAACAAATTCGGCATCCACTAAACCTATATCGAAGACTGAGCTATGGCATAAGAGACTTGGCCATGTCAGTGAAAGAGGTCTGGTCGAATTGTCGAAACAAAATCTGTTGGGTGGTGATAAGCTCGAAAAACTGGAGTTTTGTGAACCTTATATATTTGGTAAATCCTGTAGAATGAAGTTTAAAAAAGGTAAACAAAGAACACATGGATCCCTTGATTATATTCATGTTGATCTTTGGGGACCTGCAAGGAATCCCTCAAACTCAGGTGCAAAGTATCCATAGTTGATGATTAATCCAGAAAGTTATGGGTATTCATCTAGAAGACTAAGGATGAAACTTGTGAAAATTTCAAAAGTTGGAAGACTCTGGTCGAAAACCAAACAAGCAAGAAGGTCAAGAGGTTGAGGACCAACAATGGTTTTAAATTTTGCAATGAGGCTTTCGAAAGCTATTGTGTTACTTATGGTATTGCAGGGTGTAACACCCCCACTTCCCATATTGACCAGAAATACAATTTAATCCAAATAAACATCAGAGTTCCACCACAGAGTGGGATATCACATCAAATTCTCCACAAGGCCTTTATAAAAAGGTTCTCAAACTAATCAGCAGAAAATATTCAATAGTTTAATATTCTCGGCCATCCGCCAAATTTATAAAATTGTTCATTCAAAATTCACCAACAGTGATACGTTCACAGGAAAACATATAAGTTCAAATAAGGAAAACATAAAAACGCCCAAGTCCTGTGCTACGTATCAGAGCATCCTAGAATCGATTCGCACACCACTATCCAGCAAGCTAAGCACCTGGGTTGTCTGTACTTCCGAGGAAGCACAGACCACAACAACAACAAAGGGGTGAGAAGACATGATCATAATCACTATCAATAATATACATGAATAAGGATAGCATTTACAACATCAGTCATCACCCGATCAACACCAAACACGACCTACTATCTAAATATCAACACTATGCATAAATATGCACAAATGCAACTCAACACCATGCATGCGGTACCGACCCAATGGTTCATTCAATCGAACCTAGATAGATCATATACGCCCCTACTTGGCAATGATCTATCCCACCATTCTCCTCAAAGGAGTACGGGTGAATCACTTATGCTCCATCCGAGACATGATTCAACCCCACCATTCTCCACAAAGGAGTACGGATGGATCACTTACGCTCCATCCGAGACATGATCCATCCCACCATGACACCATGATATGCAAGACACCAATGCGTACGAAACAGTTCACGCATACCAAGTGCACACGGTCCTCCTGATCACATTACAATATATTATTTATTTATTACACAACAATTAAACACAAGCACCCTAAGTGCACACGATCTTACTGATCACATCATCATACGACATTCATATGCTACACGCATTATCACGCGTCATAAACTCATTACGCACCAGTCAGTTATATTAATTAAGTTCCATATAATATAGTTACACTCTTTAACACCAACTACACTCTAATAATCACCAAACACCATTCCCATACCTATCATGACCACAAAGGTTTCTCGAAACAAGAGCACAACACTAAAACGACAAAATCCCCATTTTTGGCACCTCAGACTGTCCATACACATATTGGCCTGTGCCATACGCGTATGACTTTCTCACACGCCAAGGCCATACGCGTATCACACCCTCATACGCGTATTCCCAAAGGCAAATTCCCCCTCAATACGCGTATCACCATGCCATACGCGTATTGCCTTGCCCTATACGCGTACCATACGCGTATTGGCAGATGGCCGTGTCACAAGTCCCTCCCCTGCCACTGATACGCGTATTGCCTCCTATTTCCCCCCTTCCATACGCGTATGGACTAGCCCCATACGCGTATGGCCAGATCTATTACGCATTTGGCCAGAAGTCATTCATCTGCAACTCTGCTACGGAATCCAACTTTTGTATAGAAACCATTTTCATAATAACCCTTTTTTAACTTGTTTCATTTATCATTAATAATAACCTTTTTTTTAAGATAAAACTCCATTTATTTAATAAACCTTTTTTTTCTCAAATTCATTATTTATGTAAGGATGTTTCTATGCAAAAGCCCAAATTAATACATAATCCTTAATTTTGCTAAGAAAATTAATTCAACCATTTTCTCAAAAAAAATCCACCTAGAGAACTTTTATTAAAACTAAAATAATCAATTTAACCTCACCTAAAGCCTTTTATAAATCCAATCTAATTTCACTAATCAAATTCAACATCTCCACTTAAAAACAATTTAACCTTCGCCTAAATTCCACTCCTCCCTTAAAATCAATCTTGACTAAAATGAACCAACATCGTAAACAGTCGTACACGCTTGCACCACATTCACAATTCACACACTTAGCGCTTTCATGCGTGTGTATGGTTTTATTTTCCGCAATTTAAACATTATCGTCATTTACATTTTCCGCACTGCATTCCGTCCAAAGGAAGAATCTACACATGATCTCAACAATCGTGCGTATGCATCATTTGCATCATCTTTCCCTACGATCCTTGATCCCATTCAAGTCGATCACTTTATGATAGATCCTACCCCATAGGAGGACCTTTGTCTTCACTTTACAACATAGAAACACAAACAATTCCACAATACAGTTATTTCAAACACATTAGAGGAATAGATGTTAATCATCTTAAGCGAGATAGAATCTCCACCCCACAATAATACAACC